ACCTAGCCTATGGATTGTTTTCATCCTTTTTTGTATAGCAAGTAAGCCGCACCCATACGACGTGTGATGTGTTGAACTCCTATTCAGCCAATTGGTCTGACCAGACAAAGCGTGCCCATGGACGTATTTTTAATCCAGACTAAAAAAAAAAATGTGTTCACCGCAAATACATACAGCTTATTCTAATTTTATGATATAGCTCCGCATTGGCTTCTTGTTCATGAAATTGACAGTTCACTTTCCAAGTGTTTACAGAAGACAAAAAACTCGAATACATCCAGCGACTGCCACGTGGCGATACATCTAAAGTTTAGCATGTTGGAGACGGCTATAAAACAATGCTCTATATGGTTTGGCGAAAAAAAATAAAGTAGATTGGTCATCGTTCGAACAGCATCGGGACGAAAAAAAATGTGTACTGTAACGCGTTCCGCTACTAAAAATGTTAACACAGTGATAGGGAAGCTGGCACTTCCTAAAGTGTTGGTCGCCGAGTAGATTCAAAAGTGAGGATGACAGAGCGAGAACTCTGACATCCCTCATGCCTAGCGTCTTCTACAGATTGTTCTCTTCTATAGATTTTATGGGCGGTTGCTTAACTCCTGACTACTCATGGACTACATGAGTAGTGTACCAGCTGGGCGAGTGCTCTGCAAAAGCCCAATGCAATGTGAGCAAGGCTTGCATAGTCACCTCACGCTACAATTCCCTCCCAAGCCTTGTTCACAGACTAAAGCTTTAATTGGGTATTCGGTGTATCTGATCATAACTTATAACCAGGATACGCTTGAGGTTGCTTCGTAACCTCATTTACAGTATTTGGTTACAATGTAACCTATAACCAACAGGTTACAGCGATACATAAACCTTGTAGCAATGACGTAACCATAGGTTACTCTCTTTTAAAACAGATTCACTATTCCAAGTACAATTCATAACAAACATGCAACCAACTGGTTACGTTCTTGTTACAATGTATCTTGTTATAGTTTACATGCAGCTATGCATCTCATATGCAGCTTATGCAACTTCTTTGACTCTAATACCAACTTGGTACTCTAGTCTACTCATGACTTTGATACCCACTGTGTATCATAGTCGATTTTCATCTAGCGTGTTGTCGCTATTGATGCACTGCACACACGCCAAATCACGCCTTCAGCCAGTTATAGTGCTCTGTGAGCTCCTTATCCTTGGCATTTCCCACATAGGAACCAACTAGCACCTCTATGTCTTCATGCATGACCTTCATGGGCTCCCAGGAATCCTCTATAGGTTCCAAGCCTTCCCAGCCGATTAGTAGCTCGAAGTCACGCATGTCAGGGTTCCAACGGTGCTTGCGGATAGCCTCTACCTTCAATATTACACCTTGTGCAGAAACATGCTCACGCAGCTCCTCTGTCATCTCCAGATCGCCCTCTGCAAAGAACTTTAGGCGGGAGGCATGGGCGTTGCTCTCTTTGCCGGTGAAGAGATGCTTCACAGTGAATGAGTGAGTGTTGCGCTTTGTGACGACGTACGGTCCCATCCAAGTCACCAACAATTTGTTTTGTTTCTTAACATCCACCCTCGATCTCAAAACGTAATCACCAATAGTAAAATTTACCATCTGATGACCCTCTGCACGTTTCTTGTTCAGCAACGTCCTTTTTCCGCGCTGGTCTGTCACCTCTTGATGCATCTTCTCAATACTGATCCTCAAAGCTCTCATAGACTCATCAATGCTGTTTGTTGAAGTGTCCACGTTGATGGGGTCATAGCCGGGGACAAACAGTCTCGAGGTTGGACTTGGGCATGGTAGCCCCGTAAAAACCACTATCGGAGCTTTCCCAGCTAACGATTGCACTGGAGAATGATTTAGGTTGGCTTGTACGAGTGGCATTAGGTATACCCAGTCTTGGTACGAAATGGAATATTCCAGTATCATAGCTCGTAAAACTTGCAACACATCCCTGTTAATACG